TCACTCATTATCATCGTAATGATAATTTTAGGTAGCGCACCCACAAAAATTTTCCCCACCGGTGAATTTATAAAACCGCATTATAATTAAGGTTAAAGCAAGAACAGTGTAAGGTTAGGGTTAGAGTTAGGTTATTGATATTGGTAAAATTTCACAAGAACATTTTTAATTAGGCCGCAGAAGGTGATTTCTTAATTAAAATTTCGAGTTATTTCAGTTTATTTGTAAAAAATGGTTTCGCTTCGTTTGTTTACGTTACACCTGATCTTGAAATTTGATTGGCCAAATTTCACGGGTGGGGAAATTTTTGTGGGTGCGCTAGGGGGGTTGTAATGATACGTACCCTATTTCTTATAGGGGTAGATAGGGATGGGTTCGGTCAGCTTGGTAAACTATCATCGACTATCGACTAGTAGCCGGCTATAGCCAAAAAATTACTTGATCAATTTCTTAATAAATTTTTCAATCAAACATATAAACAAGTGCCAAATAATTATATTTTTATATGTTGTACTCTTATACATATTAAAGTACCCTAGCCATAGCGAAAAAAAGGTTCGGGTCACATGCTGTAAACAGCCAATCAAAATAATCAAAATATTGAAGATCCGATCTATATTTTCAAAACAATCTAATTCTGGTCAAATTTGTTGATCTTTGGCCTATTTAATACTCATCCTTATAGGCCAAACGATCTGCAAATTTGACTAGTATTAGATTTTGAAAATGTAGATCACAAAATTTTGAAGATTTTTCTGTAACTACTTGGTTAACTTCAGTAAATTTTTTTATTTTAATTTTAAACTTTTGTAGAATTAAAAAAAAAAAATTTTATCAAAATTATGTTAAGAAATCTTTACTAAACTTTTAAAAACATTTGAATTTTACAAAAAATCAGTAAATTTTCTTTTTTTTAACTTTAAACAAAGATTTCTCAAAATCTATTAATTCAAATTCGATAAAATTTTTTTTTATTTTAATTCTATAAGTTTATAATGTCAAAATCCTGATAAACAAAATCCTGACAGGTCATAATTCTGACAAAAAAATCCTGACAATCAAAAATCCTGACAAATCTTGACAATCAAAAAAGTGGTTATTTCAGTCTGCTGATATTCTAAATTAAGACAATGCAGATCGTATCTTTTATGGTATAGATTTGCTGATCAGAATATTTCAGATCACGAGAATTTCATGTTATACAAAAATTAATTCTTGTGTGTAGGATCATAACAATAATAAAACCTGAAATACTAAAATACTACAGTACTGGTTTTTATACTTGCTAACAGGCTATAATCTATATTTATTTTTTTACATATTCATGTTATTTATTTAAAGTAAGTTATCTAGTTCTATTTATATTGATTAGATATTTATTTAAAGTATTTAATTTAATTTATTTTCAGATAACGATAAGTCTAATTGTAATAACATGTTCATAAAAACCCCAGAAAATCAGTCTAGATCCAATAAAAATTTTATTAAAAAAATAAATAAAAAATAAAAAAAAAATAAAAAAAGTAAAATTTAAAAAAAATATATAAATTATCTAAAAACAATAAAAAAAAATACAAAAAAAAAATTTAAATTAACAATTATGCTGTTCTACTGTACTGTTCTATCGTGCTGTTCTATCGTGCTGTTCTATCATGCTATTCTATCATGCTGTTCTATCATGCTATTCTATTATGCTGTTCTATTGTGCTGTTTTATCATGCTATGTTCTAAATCTAACTATCATACTATGTCCTGATTCTAACTATCATACTATGTCCTGAACCTTACTATTGTACTGCATCCTGAATCTAACTATCATACTATTCCCAAATCTAACTATTATGCTATGTCCCAAATCTAACTATCGTGCTATATCCCAAATCTAACTATTGCGCTATATTCTGAACTAACTATCGTCCTATGTTCCGAATCTAGCCTATTACGCTATGACTATTAAGCTATATTTCGCTCTAACTATCACGCTATGTATGTCCCATTCTAACTATAGTGCTATGTCCCATTCTAACTATCATGCTACGTTCTGTTCTAACTATTAAAACTATGTCCTGTTCTAACTATTGCACTATACATTTCTTTATATAAACCTGTAAATAAGATCTCAATAGGTTTAATAAACTTAAAACTAATTAAAGTATTGAATTAAAAAGTTCAACATAACATTGTATACTTACACAACGGCTCTTTACAGTGATCTTGCACTGAATTAAGACATCAACATAGCTTTACATTTCATATTAGCTAAAAAAAAAAACTAGTTTTTGATGTCTCATTTACTTTAGCAAAGCAATGTTTATTGAAGGGATTAAATGAGATTAACAAAACTAGACGTTTTATACTGCTTACTTGAAAACTTGCATTATCTAATAATTATTAGATGAATTTTTTTGTAAGACGCTAAAATGCAGGATTAAAAGCCAGTATGACATACGCAATAGCCAATCAGATATGAGGATCGATATGTGAATTATTCTAGAGCTTGATTTTCTAATTAGAAATATCGGCAGACTGGAATATAGTGGTAGATCAATGAAGTACCAAATATAGTAGTAGATCAATGACAACAAAACCAGAAATAGCACAAAATCACATCAATGTCAAAAGCATTCTAGTAACAACACTGAAGAAAGATAAAGATCTTTACCTAACTCGAACAATATCGAATTCATTAACATCGTCTTCATTAATAACACCAATCAAAAATGCCTTTAACAATTTAGAAAAAGAAAAGGAAGCATTAGTAATATATTTACAAGAAAGAACAAGAAAAAGAAGCAAGTAGAATTATACTTCCTTAAATTCCAAGAAAAGCCAAGGATGTCTTTAACTAACCTAGAATAATATAAAAACTTGTTAACAAGATTGAATAGCAAGAATCACAAAAAACAAAGCTACTTTTAACGAGATTGAATAGCAAAAACCACAAAAAATCAAGCTGCCTTTAACAAAACTAAAAAAAAAAAAAGAGAAAGCATTAGTAACATGTTAAAAAGACAGAATAATACTACCTAACTATTAACTACTTCAACCAACAAATCTAACAAATACTCTAACAATAAATTCTAATCTAAATCCAAACTAAACCTTACCTATCAATAAAGTCATGTAATAACACAACAAAAATGAAGCCAAGAAATTTTAAACCGAAATCCTAACTAAATCTTATCTACTAACAAAGTCATATAATAACGTGCCAAAGATGAAGCCAAGAGTATACTAGAGATAGTTTTAAAAAGAGAAACCTAACATGCCATATCTAATAACAACACAAATTTCTTCAGAATTTCAGCACCAACAATAACAAAGCCAAAATAATAATACCGAATCTAAGGAACCAAATTTAGTGAACAAAGATACCAAACTCAAAGGGCCAAATATGATGAATGATAACACCCAACGATGACTTCACAATTTGACCTGCACAATATAAACTGTTGCTTAAAAAAAAAAATTAATACTGTATATTGATTAAAACAAATACAAAAAAAAAAAAAAAAAACTAATATTAATGCAATTAATGATCACTATTTATACTTCATGATCAGGGATGTACCATGATGCACGGTGCACTAAATTATAATTCTCTATAAGTTTTAATAAAAAAAAAATAATAAAAAAATAATCAATAGAATGTTAATCATTGTTTAGTCTGCTGCTGCCATAATCAACATGTAATTCTTTTTCCTCTAGCCGGCTGCTGAAGAAAAATATCACAAACTCACTCTAAAACAATCTCCAACTTCAAAATTTTTGTATGTGTTTGTTAATAATTTCTTATGATAAAATGAATGTCTATTGGTTAAAAACACATGATTCTATAAATCACATGTTTTAAACACTAATAGTTTTCGTTTCATCTCAGAAATTAAAAAACTTAAATTAAAAATAAAAAATATATATTAAATTTGCTACTATGTAATTAAATGTTCCACTCTCTAGAGCCCCTCAAGAGGGTAGCTATTATCATTGATAACAGAACACATTCTTTGATAGAACCCACCAAACATTGTTTGGTCCTCCCACATAAGAATGCCATCCTTTCATCTTTTGACTTGTGATAAATGTAGTATGTTTATTATTTATGATATCCCAAATGCCTTATGCTTATGAATTGATATGTGACAAGTTGTATGTCAATTAAATGCTACTCATTTTTGGAATATCATAAACTAAAAATAAAATAGTAATAAATCTGAAAATAAAAATTATTAAATCAAAAAAATAAAATTTATTTAAAATTTAATAATAACAAAATCATAATTTTGTGCTGAAAATTTAAAAAGTATCAAATACAATGTTGTATAAAATAAGCTGTTAAAATATTAACAAATAAAATTTTAGCTACTTAAATTCATTTAACCAAATATATGGAATTACAAATAATAGTTGAATAAATTTTTTATAAATTATTCATATATAATAATTGTTTCAAATTACAAAAAACAAATTAAAAGTTTTTAAAAAATTAAATATATAATTAAAAAATTGATATTGAGCTAATATATTAAATAAACCAAAAATATAATTGTCAACATAGCTATTAAACTCTGCAAAATTTGTCATTTTATAATAATCTTGTTTATCTTTAACATCTTATAATACAATTTTTAATCCATTTTTAATCTCAGTTATTTGTTTATTGTTTTTAACTAATTGATTATTTTGTGTTTCAAGTTTTTGAATTTGATTTAATAATTTATTGTTTCTTCTAATTAGTTCATTATAATCTAAACATAAAGCTATAATTTTCTGAAGAAGATCAGTATTCTTATACAATAAATTAATATTTTTTTGTTGTATTCCATTAGAATCAGATGCCATTTATAAAAAATAAATAATATATAAGTTTATTTATATAAAAAAATAAATACAACTTAAAATAAAATACAATTTAAATAATAATAATAAAAAATAAAATACAAAATATAAAAGCTAAATTTTTAATGCTCGTTTTAAATCTAAATACAAAGGATTTGATTTGTTTAATTGGTCTGTTGTATTAAAACCAATATCAGTTTTTGTTTTTTATTTTTAATAGATTTTTCACCAATATCTAAACTATTTTCTTCAAACAAATTATTTTTATCAAGTAAATCTTCAAAATTATAAGCTCTTTTACCATTTATATTTAACTCATTATGGTTTTGCTTAGTATATTTGTTGTAATATATCATAATGAAGATTATTATTAATTTGATTTTCATTTGACTTGAATTTGCTTTTTTTTTATTTAATAGGTGTAATTTGAATCATCTGAATAAATTGATAAATAATCTAAATCTGACTCTGAATTGCTATTATCTTCAGAGTATTGATCCTCTTGTTGCTGAATTGAAGATTTGATTTGAAAATCTGAATCATATTCTGGTGATATTCCATTATCAGTTTTAACTCTTGTATGAAATTGAGTTGAACTTTTAATTAATTCTTTTTCTAAATCTTGATCTTTATGATTAATTATAATAATTTCTTTGTCACTTGAATTATTTAGATTATTTAATTTCTTTATAATATTAAGATATGTAATTGGGGTTTGGGCCCTATAGCTTAATCGTTAAGTTGCCAAACCCCCACAGAAATTAGATTAAAGTTCACGGTTTGAGTCGGGCTAGAGGCAAAAAAAACTCTATAACCTACAGGTGAGGAGCCAAAATCGAACACGGTGCCTCGTGGAAGTCCAA